AGCCTTCATCTTGAGACCCCAAAGACCACCCGAGGACACTAACAGACATGCGTCAAAGACATTAACATAAGCTAATTAGTTCTTGGAAAAATCATGAATATGCTAAACATTTCTCAGAAATATACTGAAGATGTATATTGTGATTGTATTTAACCTGAAATGACGGGGTGTCTGGCGCGTGTTTATAATAAGGACTCACCTATTTCTCCATTCACAAACAGCCGCAGCGTACCAGGGAGAGTCTGTAAGAACGAGCAGATAAACAAGACCAAGAGCTCAGCGACCACTGCTGGAACCTCACACAATCCCCTCCCAACAGGGTCTCACACGGACATTTCACAGACATTTGTACACAAGCCCTTTACTCTGCTGCCCAGGCAGGAGCCATGACTTCTCCCATCGGTTTCCACAACTGAACAGTCCCTCCGCAGAGGGGCCCTCTAGGGAGATCAAATTCCTAGACTGCAGAACTTCACTGTTCTGTAAACCAGTTTCTTACAGACTTCAAGACGGATATAAAAATGTCGCGAGAAGTCACCTGCAGAAATCACACTTCTGTTTGTCCTGTAGTGTTCCTGCACTTGCCGAAGGTGCAGGGAGCAGGGGGAAGCACAGGACAAGCTGAGACACTCTATCAAAGTACAAGAAAGTACAACAACTTTCACGCTTTGGCAAATAAGACTCGAACAAAAAAGACCGCAGTCTGGGTAATTCAGTGAGCAGCGAAATCGTGCAGGAGTCTGTGGGCGGGAGGGGCTGTTCACTCCAACAAAGCAGCACACAGATGCATGTGACATTCGAGAAGTTAACAGCAATCCCTTTCCCAAAAGATACAAACCCTCCTTTCTTCTTAAAGTATTGTAGTTAAAGGCCTTCAGAGAATGCACGCAGTCTCACAGAGACTGCGGCGCTCAGCACGCTCTGCTGCTGCTCCGACAGACGCGGGACAGATCTCTGCAGGCCCCGCATCCATCGCAACCCCTCCCTTTTGCCCAATGTTCTGTTGGAAGCCATGAGGCGCAGGCTGCCAACACACCCCCCGAGCGAAACAGGCTTTGGAGACTGGTGCAGGCGGCAGCCACGCTGACCAGGCCCCGGGCCCCACGGGCAGCAGGGCCTGCCGAGGGCCGCGGGTACTCACCATCTCAAACTCTGAGCCCACGAGACCACTGAGGCATTCCTTGTGCCGACCGTACAGCTGAAAACACAGCACAAGCAGATCAGAAAAAGTGTCTTTTTGATTATGTGTTGCAAAAATTGCAATGTGTATCATTTAAAATCTGTTTAAATTGTGGACAGGCTTAGCACACAGGGGTCTTGTAATTGCTAGAGCAGATGCGGAAAATGCAAGAATCTAACAGAACAGAGATGTGTAACCACTAATACTGCATGGAACTTCCGCTCCAGAAAGACCTTGTCAAAGGCCAATCTACAGGAAAAAGAAGCTCTGAAGAATAAGATCTTACATGGCATTTTAAAAACACAGGCGTAAACTGTTCCCGTGAACCAACAGATGGGCGATCCGTGTAGTGAAACCGGTTTCCTTATTGACCACAAAACCAATGAGGAAACATACAAATGAAAAACTAAAACATTAAGGACCTTTATAAACTGCCACAGTCAAAAAGGCAATTCAGAAAGATCAAGACATAAAGTGAGATGCAAATATCCTGGCACATTACGGGTAACAAGAAATCATTCAGTCACTATACAGGCAGCAAGAGGAAGACCAAGGAAAGGGTTTGCCTCCTGCTCCAAAGGGAAGGAAAACCATTGGCAGGTGACACTAGAAAGGCAAGAATTTAGGTGGTTTCTTTGCATCAGTTGTCACCACACGGATCACCGCAGAGGCCAACACAACTAACAGTGGACACGCCTCTACCTAGAGCAAGGAATGAAGCCCTCGGGGAGCGTTTGCTGGAGTTCTCGAATCGCTGGGCATGATGAGACTCACTGCCAGAGACATTCGTTTCATGAGCCTTAGGTGTCTACAGCAGTAACAACGGCATCTACGCGAGGGTCTGAGCTCCCTCTGTCAAACCAGGAGAACCAGACCATCAGCGGAGGCCGGTCCTTACATCTCTGAACACACACTGCTCGCGTTCCTCCTCCTCTGGCTGCACTTGGGCAGACGCGTTCTCAACGGTGTATTTCCACACCTCGCGCTTCTCTCCATCCAGCTCGATCCTGCAGAGCCCCAAAACACACGGGCAAAACTCCCCCGTTACGCAGGGAATAGGCACAGGCAGACCCCCCTGTGCAGTAACACGGGGGCTCTCGTGGCCCTCTCCTCGCTCCCAAGTGCCTGCCAGCATCGATGGCTCAAAACCGGAGGATCGCTTGTGGCAAGCACGGGCACAACCTGCATCCCTAGGGACCGGCACCAAGGCCTCCCACGCCACGCACACAGTGACACCAAGCACACGTACACAATAATCTCTGTCTTAGAAATCTCTGGAATAAAACATAAAAACACCCCCCAGCTGCAGTGCTGATCGGCTGCCCAAAGGGTGACCAGGGAACAGCCGTCCCAGCCCCCTGCGTCAGCCCCGTGAGGCAGCAGCCCTGCCCCGCTCACCAGTAGTCTCCCTCGGTGCCCGTAAAGTCAGGCTTCACTGTGATCACCCCATTGCCGCCCACTTTGATGGTGCAGACAACGTGTTCGTACTCCCTGTGACCAAGCCTAACGGGAGACACCAAGAAACACCATCTAAATAGCGAACACGCACTCCCTCTTGCTCTGGAACAGCAGAGCTGGCAAAGGCACATGGGGGTACAGAAGGGAACAAACACACCCACACTTTCCCACGATAGCTTTAGAAGCCTTTTGGAGGGACAGACTCAGTCACCTCCTGACTGAGGGAAGGGCAGAGAGAAACAGCAGCCTGAGTTACTGAGCTCTCAGAACTCTCTGCCCTTAACTAACGAAAGAAACAGGAGATTTGAGTAAGGAGGGAAGATGGGTTTCCTTCTGGGAAATTAAGATCACTTCAGGATTTTACTTACTTCCCATAAGGTCCCAAGTCCCCCATGATGTACATGGTCTGGACAGGAGTGTTAATCACATGATTGTTCTTGATAAATTCTTCTGAGGGTTCCCAGGTGATGATTTTCGACTTCAGAGAACTCGCTTCTCTGTCAACAACAGAACAGCTCAAGTCACAGCTCACCCCAGCTGCCCCTCCACGACGCGGAGTCAAACTGCCGGACTGCGAGCGCAACACAGCTCAAGCCACCAGCTTCCACAGACCAGGCTGCTCTGCAGCTCGGGCACTGGCACCAGCAAACCTGCATTAGCAAGCCCCGAGCCCCAGTTTACACTCACACTGGCCTACAGTCTCGTCTTCTCCTCCTCACGTTGGCCATCCTCTCTGCCAGATACGATGGCACCTCATGCTCTGAGTCCGTCACCTTCTGGCAGTGCTGCAAGAGAGAAACAGCCGGGAGCTAGCTTCACTGTCGCAGGACGGCTCTCCCAAACCCAGCTCCTATCTTGGAGGACAGAACAGCTAAGTACGCGCTCACACGTGAGGACAAACTGCTGCAAGACTGTGGATTTCACTGGCTGTTCCTGTGGCAAAGCACAGCAAGTGACCTACAGAGCAACGCTCCAAAGCCAAGTCCCTCCAAACCACCCCCGACCATCACCCTGAAGCAGGGAGATCTCCTCCCGGGTCTGGGGCGCCAGGCGAACGCTGCACTGCAGAACCAGAACGTTCTCCTGCACACAGGGCACCTGGCTTGGTTCTGCACGGCCAACAACTGGCCAATGTCCCCTCTGCGGCAGGCCTCGCGGCTCCGCCAGACG